GGGCAGGCTTCTGAGAGAGAGAGAGAGAGACGCTGAGGTAATGTTTTGTATTGAAAAATTACAGCATGATCTCACTGTCTGGGCACATTCTTCCTTTTAAGGCTTTGACTTTCATGGATCCTGGGCCACTTTGGTTGGACGTCTCATCCCTGCTTTGTGGGCCCGTATGATTCGCAGTGTTTGTGTGCATCAATCAGATGTCCTCTGCTCATCTACAAGATATCGTAAAGGTCTGCTGAGGTGGCCCTTGCAAAGGCACATCTTAAACTGCAGGGGGTGACTCACCTCAGCTTCAGTGAACTTGTCAGCTTGAGACATGAGGTTGTACTTGATTCTGAAAAGAGAAATGGAGTCAGGGGTAAAGTATAACCCTAGGATGTTTCATGGCCAGTGGTGGAGGGGGGGGGCTGGTACCAATAATAAATGATAAGACAAGTATAAGCAACCTGTACTCACTCATCGCCCTTGAGAAACCCTTTTCCTTCTGGGTCAAAGATCTTGAAGGCATTGAGAATGGTCTCCTCGGGGTCTGTGCCTAGGAGAGCATGACAAGACAGCAGGAATCAATGTCAATGAGGGAAGGAGATTTCAAACGACAGCAGCTCATGGCTGTGCAATCCAAAGACATGCAGTTAGGCTAATTTTCTTGTTCTGTGTATGTGCCCTGCAATGGCCTGGCATCCTGATCCACGGTGGCCCCCAGCCCTGTGCTGTGCTGCCTGGGAAAGCCTCCAGGCGCCCTCCGACCCTGCCCAGGATGAGTGGTTTGAAGATCCTCGATATCGCTGGGCCCCAAACTGCTAAGTCCATGGCTTCAGAGGACAGTCTGAACCCAGGTAGTGACTGGCAGATGGGGGAGATCACCGCCATTGACCCTGGGGGGGGGTTTCAGCTGGCCAGAATATCTTGGCTGACCGCTGTGAGCACGTCCTGAAGCCAGGTGCCTGCGAGAAAGAGCCCCTGTGCCACCTGACCTCTGGCATGCTGGGAGAATGGCTGAAACTAAGAGCTTTAGGGTGGGCACTATGAAAAAACAGCCCCTATTTATGCCACTTGGCAAAAAAAAGTTCTAGAATTTCTGGAAGGGAAATTCCACAGAGGGTAAGCGGCTCACCCTTTAGTTTCTCTCCAAACATCGTGAGGAAGACAGTGAAATTAATGGGCCCGGAAGCTTCTTTCAGCATGTCGTCCAGCTCCTCGTTGCTCACGTTAAGGCGCCCTGTGGCACATGGCTGGGGTTAAGCATGGGCTGATCGCTCGCTCTAGGAGAAGGGCATTCGCTGCATGAAACAGCACAATGGCATTTGGTAATTGTGAGGTATCTGTTACAGAGCTTTAACATGCTATTCATGCACCAGGGTGCTTTACTGGAAGCTTGATCTGGTTCCATCACTGGAGGCTGGTCTACCTAAAGCAGCAAAGGTGTCCCTCAGGTCATTCTTGTCAATGAAGCCATCTCGGTTCTGGTCCATGATGGTGAAAGCCTAGCATGGAGAAGGGCGTTAGAGAAGCCCAGGGTGTCGTCCACCACAACCACGATCCTGGAGACAATCGCTGCTCACAGAAAGTCTCAGGAAGCCTAATCCTCTAAAAATGCTGCAAATTCATGGCTTCATAACAAAAGTCCTCTGCACTGTCAGTGCCATGATTTTATTGACTGTCTCATTCAGTTCTGTTCCTGCCATTTTCTATTAATTGCGATTGCAGTTGCTGGCTCCCAAAGGGACACTCAACACAAATGTTTGGTGTTTTATGTGGTATTTGGTGTTACTAATTAAAAAGCACCCCAGTGAGATTGCTTGTCAATGAGCTTTTAACTCAGAACAGCTCTTTTATAACTATAATTTGGGTTTCAGTTTATTACTACTCAAAATTAATGTTTACTTAAAACTACTGGTTGTTTCTAATACAATATATATTTTTTACGAACAAGTGAATAAAGTAATGATTTTTGTTATAAAACCAATAAATTTGAATTAAGCAATCATCCCAAAACTTTCTGTGAACGCTGAACTTAACCATAGGCTAAGTTAACTAGACACACCCCTTTCCAAATGCTGAATCTGCTAGATGAATCAGCATGATCTTGAACAGTGCAGTTCTGGGGACTCCTGCTCCAAATGGCCCCCGATGTCAGGCACCAGATTCAGAGGTGGGTAGTTCCAGTAAAAATCTGGAACAAAATTTTGTTTCGACCAACCAGTTGAGTGTTCTGTGACTGTTTATACTCAACTGGTTGGTTGAAACAAAGTCTTGGTCCGGATATTTACTGTCTGGACCTGATTTAACCATCTCTGACCAGAATATCCATGCTGGAGTGGGCCGGGGTGGCGTTGTGGATCTGCCAGCTCACCTCCTTGAACTCCTGGATCTGAGACTGCTCGAACATGGCGAATACATTGGAGCTGGCTCCTTCTTTCTTCTTGGCTTTCTTTGGTGCCTAGAACAGGCAGACAGAGGGGCTGCAGTGTCCCACAAGGTCACACAGCTGATGGGGCCGCGGGATGCTGTTTAGAGACCCCATAGGTCACCATAAAAAAGCTCAACACGAGAAGCACTGCCTGGTTCACTCTGATTAACCTCAGCTGCTGGTATCGCTGCTAAACCACGCCAGACATCAAACCTCTCCCCTCCAAACCTCAAAGGATGGCGAGCGCTTTATTATGGAGTTCTCAACCTGCAAAAAAGTGCCTGATTTGGGAGGTGCCTGGTAATTTCGCATAGCGACCCTGACCTGGTGCGTTATTCATTACCAACCGGCTCCAGCCCCCGACTCTGCTGCCGTAAAAAGGCGAAAACAGTAACTGCATATTTTATCTGAAATTAGTTATGACCGAAATCAGGTCCCTTTGGCTCTGTTTTGACTTGTGACAAAATATCTTATTTAATCTATATGCTCCGTTTTGATGAAGTACACTATCATTCTGATATCTACTACAGATACAGGCGGATCATCACAAAACTTCGAAGCCTTTTTTCTCAGTTTCAGTATCAGCATAGTTTTGTGCTTTGCCTTAGTAGGGCAGCCTAGAGCACCGACAGCGATACGTCTCATTAAAGAGGAAAGAAGATTCCCCTAAAGCCTCACACCTGACTGCGTTCCCTCAAAACAAGCGGGGCCTCTTCTTCACTACAGACCCCAGTAAAGTCAGCTGGCACAGAGGATGAAAAGATGGGCCTACCATACTGAAGAGCTTCTCCTCCTGTCTTTGTCAACGAATCCCTGAAGGGAGGCAGGCGACCTCTTCCTGACTTATATATCTGTGCTGCTGCTCTGCTCTGGCGGCCCGATCTAAGTTTAGAATATGGGGTCTGTCTGGAAGAATCCAATAATGATCCATAAATCCAGGCATGAGAGTTATGCAGGCTGCAAAAGCCCAGGGGGAAAAATGTCACTTTGACCCCTGCGGTCATCACACATACAGGAGTGCTGTGCAGGCCACAGGCAATGGGAAGGGCTTAGCAGATCCTGCATTTATCGTTTGTTTTTGCGTTTTGCTCGGCCATTTGTGGGGGTGTGAACAGTGCACACATCAGTGTTAAGCTTATGTGCCGAAAATCTCAAGGGCTTCCTAATGGCCAGAGTGGGAACTGGCTGCAAATAAACTGGTTCAAGTATGAGGGCCGCACTCTCGGCGTCCAGGCCAGCCCACGGTACGGGGAGAGAGAAGTGCATCCCGGCTGATGCTCACACAGAAGGAAAGACCCAGTTTGTCCAGCTTAGAAGGCCACACATAACAGATGAAAGGTAGGACCAAATGTAGGTTTCACATGTGAGGACTGAAGATCATAAAGAGACGGATAAGTGCTTCAGGCATGGAGGTATTTTACCTGAAAGTCCTCAGTGGGATGGAGCGCGATCACATGACCACGCAACGAGACACTGAGACGCAGGAACGAGCCCTAACACTAAAAATACGGGCTGATGTGTCGGAGGGGCATTATTTACACGTGCCCCCCCAAGGCTTGGGGCAGCTGACCGACACACATAGTTATTCATCAGAGGCATGTGGCAAAGTCCTCTGGCCCAATGCTGTAA